TCCTCAATTTTGGAGAGTATTTACTTCTAATAAGCAGTAGAATATAATCTAGTGGATGATGTGCGGGTTCAGTGAAGGAAGTGCTACATAGTTGGGCTCATAGAAGTGGGAAGAGAAGTCTAAGGGCATGGAGTGTTGCCCCCTTAGCAATCATGTTGGGTTATTTGGAAAGAGATAATTAGAAGGGCGCTTGAAGGAGTGGAACAAGAGTTTATAAAATTGCAAAGTAGTCTTTTGTTAAGGTTGTTTATTTCAGCATTAAAGTATATTATGACCTACTGTGCAAAAACCACTGTCAGAATGGAAAACAAAATTACTCTAAATGACTGGTTAACTATTAAAAGTTTTGGCATGCACCAACTCATGATATATGAAAAGAGTCTCCTTGGGACGTATCGGTCACACACACCTTTAGTTTGTACTCGTCCAAATATTCTCCTGCTTCATCTCTAAGGTGCAATCTAATTTCAGTTCCACGACCAAGAGGTTCATTCCATACATCTTCAGAAATGGCAAATGCACCATCAGCCTTAGACTCCCAGACATATCTGAATGCAGATATTTGTTAAATCACTAATAAAATTCCCAATACATCAATAGTCATTAATCAACACATTCACACAAGAACGTACTGTTTGTCATCGTTATGCTTGCTGATGACCTCAACATAGTCAGCTACAAGATAGACCGAGTAAAACCCAACACCAAATTGTCCAATCAGATTAAGGTCTCCACTTGTCTGCATCTTCTCAACAAAGGCTGTTGAGCAATAACAAGTTAGTGAACAGTAAAGAGAACTCCAAGAACACCGCCAATCTCATATCCACCAGATAGATTACCTGAAGTTCCAGATTTAGCTATAGTTCCCAAGTTCTTTATTAAATCCTCCTTGGTCATTCCTATACCTCTGTCACGAATGGAAAGAATTTTCTTTTCTTTATCCAGTTTAATCTGCAATAAACAATACAATCATCAGAACAGCTTTTAAAAGAGCAACCTCCTCGTACTAGCAACCAACAGAGTCTACACAAACAACGGACACAAATCACCAACCTGGATCTCAAGCTTAGTGTTATCACCTTCCCCAAGTACCTCCTTGTCAGTAAGTGACAGGAACCTAATCTTGTCCAGCGCCTGAATTTAACAGGATATTAACTTAGAAGAAATCATTTGCATATAATGTCGAACATCACCAGAGACTTTAAAAGTGTGCTTACATCCGATGCATTCGAGATCAGCTCCCTCAAGAAGATGTCCTTGTTACTGTAAAGGGAGTTGATAATGATGTCCATAAGCCGAGAGACCTCAGCTTGGAACTCAAATTTCTCTGCATCAGCTCGGAGAGTTTTCCTAGACATAGACTCCGATTCCCTATAATGATATAGTGCTCAGTACAATGAAGATACAAAGAAGTTGAAGGCAAGGAATCAGGGCGAAACAAACTAAATGAATCGACAATTCGGAAACCTTTTAACGACATCAGAATCAGTGGATAAACCATGTGGAACAGCACCAAACTTTTCCTCAACCTTTGGCGGATCAACAGGGGCATCAGATTCAGCTTCCGCATTTGCTTGAATCCTCCGACCTATTGAGTAAAAAAATCATGTTTCAGAATAAAGCAGTAATGTCCGTACTCCACTAAGCAATTCAATCAATCAATCAACTATGTAACTCCTTAAATAATTACGGCAGCAAATTTTCAAGGCAGCACCAGACCAAAAATGCCTCACAAACTTCAAAGCTAAGGCAAATATTACTGCCCAATGCTCGATCCACAGTATTAGTTCATCATCTAACTAAACTATTTAAAATCTTACATACATATAACAAGAAAATTCCATGAGATCTCAAAACAAATAGTTTACCTTGATCTGGAAGAAGGAAAAGAAGACATAACAGAAACAGGACCGAAGGGATCGTCCACTTCCTCATTTGTATTGGATTTCACTCTCAGACCTCAGCGGCTTTTGAAATTTGGCTTCTAAGTAGCGCCATTTCCAGTGAGCGACTATATATAGTGAGCTCGTGCCGTCTCCGTCTGTGTCACGAGTTCGATACCCACGACTAGGAGATCCATTTTCCTAATTTTTTGCCAGCGTGGACGATCGAACGGTTATGATGTGTGATAGTATACGTGGCGTGGTTTTATTGGTTTCCGTCGCCTCTTGAGACGTGGAGAAAACCTTTGTTCTATAAGTCGACGCGAACGACGACCTGGTTTCTATCTTCTGCGCTGAGGTCCATGGAATAGATCAGTTGGAATTACTTACCGTAGCAGCTACGTCTGAGAACCACGTGTTCTTCTTTCATTGGCAAGTACAAAAGGTGTAAGGTGAGTGGTGACCATACATTATGCAGCGAATTCAGGTCAATATTCGTGATTATGAACTAATGTTAATAATTTGCGATTTTTTAACTTCGACCATTCCTTGTGTTAAACCATAGGTTTTGAAAATATTTTTTAACTAGAGTTAAGTTCAATGCATAATTGTCTAAAACTATTTACAGAATGACTTACAAAATAATTATCTGTTACAAGCATTCATTAATATCTCGATAAACATGATAACTAACTTACTATAATAGGTTAAACTATACTGATAAAAGAAATATTTATACTATCAAATTAACTTAGATCCTTTTAAATATTCTACTTATCATGATACTGATCCGTCTATTGATTTTTCATAATTAAAGAGTAGAGTCATTTATTATTCTTTCTTTTGCATGAATTCAATCAAAAGATGGAAGAAATGTAGAATCACGTAGCGGACTTATGATCTGGTTATCTTGGTTGCATGATAATCGAGAATATTAATAGAACATGATAAAGACAAGACACATTCTTCTAAATTTCTATGATGTAAATGAGAGTTTACAATTACGTAAGTTCTTTGTGGTAGCAATAATCTAGACGAGAAGCAATAAATTTTGTCTATTATTGTTTCTACTGCTAACAACATTTGGTTCGGTTAAGGCATTAATTACGTTTCATTTGCTAAACTCACGAAGCAGGGGCGGCCCTTCCCTAAAGCAAGTAAAGTAATTGCTTTAGGCTCCATATTTGTGGGGGTGGATATTTTTTGTTACATCTAATAGGCTATATACAAGTTTTTAAAAAGTTATGTGAAGTAAAAATATTTGATTTCTTTCTATAATAAATACTCCCTCTGTTCCAGTTTACGTGAACCTATTTCCTTTTTAGTCTGTTCCAAAAAGAATGACCCCTTTCTAAATTTGATAACAATTTAGCTTAAACTTATAATTCTACCCTTAATGAGAAACTTTTATAACCACACAAATACTATGGGCCCCTTTTTGACTTGTTTAGGACCATAAATTTCAAAAGTCTTCATTTTTTCTTAAACTCTGTACCCAGTCAAACAGGTTCACATAAATTAAAATGGAGGGAGTATAGAGAAGAAGGATTTACAATTGATATGATTTCTGCCTAGGAAATTATAGTTGAAATAAATATATAATCTAAATTTCGTGGGAAACTTGTGATATATAGAAAAAAATAATTTGATGAGAATATTGATTGTGAAATCTCATGTTCTCTTGAAGAGTCCTTTAGAGTTGATTATTTTATATACATAGTATTCACTTCAAAATAGATTTAAACAATTCGAAACATATGAAAATATTTTTGATTTTATATTTAGCGGTAAAAAACTGAGATCACTATATAATGGAAAGAGAGTTTAAATGTATTAGGTATATTGTCAATTATTATGAGAAACTGATTATAAGAAAATTATTAATAATTTTACATCTAAAAAAACTAAAAAAATAGACTTCAAATAAAAAGTTTTTTGAAAAAAGAAGTTAAAGCCCATTATAATTTAGCTTCAAGCCACAAAATTTGGGGAGAAATTCAAAAATATCCAGATTTACAACTGGTCATTCAAAAATAGCTCAGTTTCAAAAGTAATCAAAATTTAGCCAATTTTCATGTAAACATAAATCTGAGCGAAAACACTGTTCAAAACCCGAAAAATACGCCAGTATATTATACTGGAGTTCCAACAAAAATATGCTTGAACTCCAGCATATTATACTGGAGTTCCAGCATAAGTACACTAGAACTCCAGCATAATATACTGGAGTTCCGGCAAGGATAATTGTCCAGTATAATATACTGGAGTTTGGAGCACTGGTGCTCCAGTCTCCAGTATATTATACTGGAGTCAGCAAAGTATACCGGTCCAGCATAACATGCTGGAGTTCATACACAGGTGCACCGAACTCCAGTATATTATGCTGGATCGATCTCTGTTGCAGCAAAATAGTGGCTATTTTTCATTGACTTCGTAAATGCTGGCTATTTTTGAATGATCACTCCGAACACTGGCTATACCGTGCTATTTTTACCAAAATTTGTCGGGCTGTCCCAGGAAGTAGTATATGAAGGTGCATTTTTGCATATCTGGTACATTCGTAGGAAAAGATTCTTTTATTCATTTATAGAGTCATGTAAAAATGATTTAAATGTAACTGTTATATGAATTTACTAATAATTGACGTATCCCCTATGAAGCTGAAATTTCTTTATGCTTTCTCGCTTTTAAGTTCCTCATAGGGACAAAATAAGTATGGGGCTAACTGCTATACAACAAGGTAAGTCTGGATTGACTATTTTCAAAGGTAACCCCTCTTGTAGATTTGGAAAATCTCTAGTAACCTACATCCACGCAATAAAAGATTTCTCCTGGATATTCAATTATCACATTGCGAATCATCTTGCATCGCATGAGGTTATACATATTAAATTTGGTCATAATAATTGTATGATATGGCACTTCTGAGATAAAATTCATTGATGATTCCGAGGCATACAAAAACACATTTTTGTTCCAATTCAAAATTACTAGCACGCCATGAAACTTTCAATAGACCTGCAATCATACTGATTTTAGGTAGCAAAATCTAAACCAGCAAAGAGGTCCTCCATGGACTAGGCTTGAAAATTAGATGGTGCATCTGGGAGATTGGTGTACTTAGCAAGGGTATCTATAAGGATAGTAGCTGGAGGTAAATAGGGGGAAAAGGATCGCAGATTACATTATGTTGCAGAAAACTCAGCAACGTTCTCATACACAAATCTGTGAAGATGCAAGACAGACAAAAATCCTGATAACTTGTAACATTACCCTACGGACTAACAATTGTAAACTTAAATTATCCACATGCACTTTGATTATAGCATGTGACTACTACGTAGTTTTATCTAGAGAAAGGACATTCTTCTGGACTAATCTATAATTCGTCCTTGGCATCAGAATCATCTTTGGCAGCAGCTTCTTTGTCATCAGTTTCAGCTTCAGGTTCCTCAACATCCTCTTCTTCCTCAACTGCTGCATCAGGGCTAACATTTAAACTGCTCTTAACTGAGCTGTAGATGCGGGAGGCAAAATCCTTTGGGTCATTGAGCAGGAAACCACTCTCCAGTAATGCTGTTTGGTACATTAACTGAGCCGTTTGCTTCACGCTCTCATCCTGTGAACCAAATACATGAAATTAGTAACAGATAGCCATTTCTACAACATCTATCATTTGATCACATGTATAGAGATAAAATCAAGTGTACCTCAGGGTCCTTTACTACTCTCTCCCGAAGCTCCTTAATAATTGGGTGCCTAGGGTTGATCTCAAGCACCCTTTTACCCCGCATATACGCCTGCTTGCTAGCATCTGAAAGAGTTTGTGACTGCATGATTCTTTCCATATTGGCACTCCAACCGTATTTCGATGTCACAACTACACAAGGAGTGTCGGCCAAACGGTTGCTAATCTTGACATCATCTACATTGTCACTAGCAAGAGCACCCTTCCACCATTTGGTTAGCTCCTTAAATGACTCCTTGAGCTCTTTGGCTTTCGAATCCTTGCCCAGTTTCAGGCCCTCTTTGGACACATTTTGGAACTTATGGTCTTCATAGTCCATAAGGTACTGCATTAGGTATTCATCTACGGGGTCCGTGAAGAAAATCACCTAAACGATGCAACAAGGCAAAATTAGCAAATGAATCTTTAGAGAAAACATGACAAATGCATTCATAACAGAATTCAAATATCAAAGACAAGGAACATAGTCAAACTCAAACCCACAATGCAAGAAACGATGACTAATACTTTTTGTCAAAATAAAAAACCACTAGTTATTTTGTTGTGCAGCATTCCAATCTTTCCTTGCTATCTTAAGAAAGACTCATACCTCATAATTTTTCTTTGTTAGCCTCTCAAGGAATGGTGATTTCTCTAACTGCTCTTTGCTAGCTCCAGTTATATAGAAGATATCCTTCTGTCCAGTCTTCATCCTTGAGATGTACTGGTCTAGCGAAGTTAGTTTACCATCTGATTTTGAGCTGCAAACGGAAAAAATATTAAGACAACAAGGGATTAGTCACCCTGATTTTATTTCACAATCTCATTAAGAATAACACTCTTAAGACACAGAGCATACGTCTCAAATCGGAGGAGCTTAGCCAAGCGATTTCTGTTAGTTGCATCTTCTATAATACCAAGTTTTACTGACTTTCCAAATTCATTCCAAAACTTTGCATATTGACCTTTCTTCTCATTGTCTGCACTGGATTCTTCGATATCTGTAACGTCATGAGAAACTCAGAAATGAGAAATTCAATCTCTTAGGCAATGGATAGTTCAGAGATATTAACTAACCTTTCTTATCCTTGTCGTTAGATTCATCAGGATCCTCATCAGCAATCTTGCGTATCATGTCAAGAGCCTTGCGGATGAGTTTCTTCTTAATTGTCTTCAAGCTGCTGTGCTGCTGAAGCATTTCTCTTGAGACATTGAGGGGTAAGGTGTCAGAATCAACAAGACCCTAGCATAAATGGCAAACAAAATGATGTTAGAAACTCTTGGCCAATACATAATATAAACAGATAAGTTCTAGAGTAACAAGAACTACCATTAGGAAACTCAAGTACTTGGGTAACAATTCGTCAAATTCATCAGAGATAAAGACCCGTCTGACATATAACTTCAAGTTGGATTTCTTGGAGTTGTAGTAGCTTTCATATAAATCTTGAGGAGCCTTAGGAGGGACAAATAGTACAGCCTTGAACTCAACATCACCTTCAGCATTAAAGTGACTCCAAGCAAGGGGCTTCTCATCACTGAAGTCCTGGCAAAATAATACAAGAATTTAGCAAATGGTAAGAGAGTTCACAAAAGGTTTCTAGTCTTCCCACTGCATTTCAACTGGAAGAAAGTATGTAAGTAGCAATTTACCTTTGCAAGTGAGTGATAGAATTTCGTATACTCTTCCTCTGTCACCTCCTTTGGATTCCGAAGCCATATAGCTTTCACATCATTCAAAAGCTCCCACTCATAAGTGGTTTCCTTCACCTTCTTAGTTTTGGGCTTTTTCTCATCTTCTGCCTTCTCAGAATCATCTTCTTCTTCATCTTCAGAAGGGCTAGTTTCAGCTGTTCACAACATTGAAAGACTATGAGGCCACATAAGATTAAACCAAAAGGAGGGGATAAACTTTATATTCTCTAGCAACCTTCCACACCCCCCCCCCCAAAAAAAAAAAAATT